TATTTGACTTTTATAGGTTCCAACACTGAGTTTGAAGAAATCTTTTATGAAATACAGATAATTCAAAATGTTTCTCTTATCTCAGCTCCGAGTCCGTCATTCCCTTTTTCTCTCCTTGCTTTTGTTGTTTACTGTGACTCCTGCAAAGTGTCTGTGGACAAAGATGAAGCAGCCAAGCTTAAATCCACTTAACTACCAAGGGGGCAGTTTTTGGCAAACAAAATAAGAGACATCACTCTGGCTGTCGCCTCTTTCTCCAGGGACAAGCAAAGACAACACACCTGGTGGGAAGTGCAAACACTGCAAAATTTCTCTAATCCATTTAAGCCTAATTACTTATTAGTCTTTCTCCCATTTCCTTACGACTCTGTTGCTTGGAAGGAGCCAAAGGGCCAATAAAGCCAGATTAAAATGATAATAATTATAATCATAATCACTGTTATAATGATAATATTATATCACAATAATGATATCCAGAAGAAGAACAAGAACAAGAAGAACAAGAGGAAAAATAAAGCAGTTAAAGAAAAAAAATTAAACATAGCCTACTAGAAAATTCATTTCATGCCGTATAATTGCTGGACAACTATTTTATCTTCAGTATCAGCTTTCAAACACCGGTCAAGCTTTCTGCTCTCACTCAGCACTTACATATGCTGTTTACAATAACAACAGCAGAAGATTTACCACTTGAAATGTTGAGTAATTATTGAAACAATGGGACTTCACATGGTTTAAAGTAAACCAAAGCAAACTCACAAGTTTGTCGGCTGAAAGACCGACTTTATTAACCATATATATACTGTCAGCTTATAACTCCACCTGTTTCCAGTGGCTTTTGAATGTGCCCTGGTGAATCATTTTAAAATAAGAGTCCTGTAAATGGTTTTACACATGGCTACGTACATGACATCGTGCTGAAAAACTGTGGCTAAAGCTGCATGACAAAAAGTCAGTTCACTAGTTGTTATTGATGGATTGTCATCAAGTATGGAAATAAAGAAAAAGCACTTTTATTTAAATGACTTTAGAGAAGAATATTGATGACTTTTAACCTGTAAAAAATAAAGTATTTAGCTATTGACACTGCTGCTGAATAAATTCCAGGCTAACAGACATAGTAAATTCGAACAGACAAACACACTATTAGATTGTATTTTTGGTTTTTCTAAGTGTAATTAGTAACAATCTCTGCTATGTTCAGGGTTTTATTTTATTTTATTTTATTTCTATGTTGACGACCACTGGATTTATGCATGCGAGCAAGTGCTGGGAATATGGACACATTCCAATTTGGCTGACTTCGATTGCTTCTCCGTTTTTCTGCATATGCATCACTGTTTATATCAAATAATACAAAATGGCACTGGTATAACAAAAGGAAAACAAGAAACTTTTGTGTTTCCACCCTGTAAATGAGTAGGGGCTGGTAAAAATTGAAAGGAACACCCAGGTCCAGAATTGGAAGTGACATGAGGCGACATCTTGTTACTGTGCCGGTCATTTTACTGCAAATCCAATCAGCTTTTATTTGTGTAATCAGACTTGTCTCACCTTTCCCTCCTCCTCGTCTGACCTCATTCAGCTTTCTCTCTCTCTGTCCCTGTCTGTCTGGTTAAACAACAAATATTGCAGATGCAAACCCAAACAAGCGAGGTAGCACTAGCACAGACAATAACAAAGAAAGACAAGTATTAGCACACTTGCATTTAGCATTTAGCAACAGCAGGAGGCTCCTTTTTTTCGTATCATACTCTCCTTTGTTTATTCTGTAGTCTGTTTTTGCCAAAAGCTCTCTTCTGGTGTGTCTCCACCTCTTTGTCATAGATACAAGAGCAAATACAGCTTGACATTTTTATCATAAAGATTTAATCATACTCAATCACAAAGTAGAGCCACAAGAAGGAGCTTCCTGTTCCCACCAACTACAGCTCTGTATACAGCATCCAAGGGCTTATGAGGCTTAACGTTATAAAACAAATGTATTTGTGTATTTGTTTATTTATTTTAAGCCATATATTTTAGTGTAAAACACATTTCAGCATTGGGTAAGAGAGGTTCACTATAAAATCCACAATCTCTCCACCAGTCATTATATTGACACGGAGCAATTTCTAATATATATATTTTTTTTTACTGTATCTCAGTGTTTTGAACAACTTTGCACCTCTCTAGGTTGGTGTGTGAAAATGGGTTAAAAATTCTTGATGCAAACTATATTTTAGGTACTGTTGTTTTCCTCTGTGGTCAGAAATGTGGCTTTATTCTTACAGATTCAGTAAAAAGGAAAAGATGCTGCCAAGCCAAGGAAGCTGTCACTGTATGAAAAAAGAGGCCAAAACAGCTATTGCTCCCTCAGGAGAGTGTGCAACTTTATATATGTTTATGCATGCATTTTACAGTGTATGTATCTTTCTCAAACTTGTCATCCCAGTCCCAGCCCAGAAGCGCTGAATCCATATTGTGTTAATTTGCTCCATATGTTACGGGTCTTGGCTGAAATCCCTCCTGTTGAGCAGCACCACTACAGGTAATGAATACTGGCAATAAACATGACTGGATGCTTTCCACCACTTCATAATTAGATCACTCGATCATTTGCTGCAGAGATCTTTGCCTTTCTGGGCGTTTAGAGAAAGAGAGAGTGCGCAGCGTGTTTGAATGTGTGTGAGGGTATTTCATTGTGTGTGCAAATAAACATGCATCAAGTAAGTGTGTGTGTTTGTGCAATGCATGTGTCAGGGTGGTGCGTGTGTAAGCCTATATGTAATGTACTGATGCATGTGCGTACATGTATGTGAAGAATTTACATCCATGTGTTACTGGATTGAATCAACAATTAATCCTATTGAGACACTGGCATTTTAAAGATAGCTGAGGTCCACTGACATGTTTTAAAATGTATATTGAATTTGTGTCAGGAGGAGAGATACATGCCACTAATTTCTTCATGGGATCATGGCTTGGGACCACTTCCATGAAACAATTGCTGGTTTGTTTTTGCTGCACTCAGTATTGTTCAAAGTGTTGCTTCTACACAAGAGGAAGAGAGACAGAAAGTAAATTACCAAGTAATTACGCACATTTTTTTTTCGACTTCATGGAGCTTTACTTTGTACAATCTTCCTGATAAACAACTTTGTCAGTTTGACATTTTGGAAAATATGCTTGTGTGATTGATGCCACTTTCACATATGTTGCTGGCGCCAGTAGCAGGTTAGCAGGTTAGCTAATGTAGTTTTACATCTCCTCTCTCAGGCTTCTCTCTGGAGCACTAGTAACAACAGGTCGGTGAGCAAATCAGAAGACAGAGCTTCTCTTCTGATTGGCTGACTGTTTTCTGAGTGATCAAATAAAAAAACAGCAGATTTCAGGTAAACAGTCTGAGAAACCAAATCCTGCGAGGTCGGACAGGTTGGGTCCAGGTGGGCTGTGCTGGGGGCATAGCCGAGGGTAGTGATTGTTTGGTTGTGACATCACAAAGTTGCAGAAGTTCTGGCAGCGTTTTTCAAGTTTTTGAATACGGGCTGTGGGGATTTTGTTTAATGTTTTTTTGTCACTTATGAGGTCTGTGAGAGACGCCAAGCTTCCACACACACACACACACACACACACACACACACACACACACACACAATCAAGATCGCTGAGTTCATGCCCTGCAGTGTATCCTTATCAACCTGTGCTAACTGATAGCCTTTATATCACCCCGATGACTCTTTGGTGAAAGACTGTCTGGTGAACATCTGCTCATTATAATTACTATTAATGAATTTGAAAATCCAGTCTGGCATCATGTGATTGATTGTATTTACCAGGTCATACTCACAAAGGCTCCGGAGGCGGATGGAAGTGTTATTCGTTTGAGAATAATAAGGTATGTGGAAGTGGATTAATTGGCTTTATCAGGTGAATTTAAAATACATGCAGCTGTATCAACAGTGAAGAACGGAAGGTCGGGAAAGACTGGTGAGTGAGTGATGAAGAAGTGATGGAGAGATATCAAGTAAACATTTTCTTCAGATAATATGGTTTATATACACACACACACACTAGGCTGGCTAATCATGCACCATGTATTCATATTTTTTATTTAGTTTTTGCCCCTTAAAGACAAAAAAGATGCAAACCCAACATGAACATATTACCGCCACGTGAATGAACTATTGTACACATTAGCATGTTAGCGGTGCAACATCAGCCTCAATGTGAAGTTGTGTTTCTATCCATCTGACAAATGTAAGTCCAAAATTCAATTCAATTTCCTGTGGCTCTGGTTTGGTTTCTCTCACTCTGGAGAAAACTATCTGGCTATTTTTGTTGTTCATCACCAGCACCTTTCACATTTCATATAATCATTTGATCCATATTTAATCTGATAAATGTCTGATGGTGCAGCTTTAATTTACTCTAATGCAGGTTACACTATATTCTCAGTTACAGTCAGCACAAATGTGATTGAAGTTGTAATTGTCAGATCAAAATGTAACTGCACAGAGCGATGTGTGTATTATAAGAAAATAAACACAAAACTCGATTTCAAACAATAACGTTTCAACTGAAACTACTACAGCTGGACTAGTTTAAAAACAACTGAATCCCTGCTGTGCAATTATTAACTAACTAAGACACTGTGGATCTCAGACTGTCTGTCTCAGACTGTCTGTTGACTGAAGGACCTAATGAGTCCTGCACTACAAAGCAGGACAGTATAAAAAATTAATAAAAAGGTGATCAAATGTTCTTCTAAGTTAAATAAAAATGCAACCTGTAATGGATTATGTATTAAACCGTCACATTATATTTAAGAAAATAATCAAAACATTTTACATATGTGTAATTACCTGATTTTATAGTAAATATTCAGAATCAGAAAAAAGAAATAGTAAACACAGTCACATTACAATGTAATGTTTGATGCTCTAAAGGTGTACATAAGTGTTGCATAATCAGATCTTAGACCAGATCTTCAATAATGATTTGATAATTTGTCACTTAAAACAGTTTCAACTCAAATATTAATAAAGATTTTAATACTTTAAAAATTACTTCCATTCAAAAAAAAAATCACAGGAACTTCACAAGTTCAACTGCTCCTTTCAGATCTTTGTGCCACAGCGCCATCTAGTGGTGGAGAGCATGTGACATCCTCTGACTGTCCCACAGTTACACTGCAGAGTCAAACGCTGGAAAACTCTACACACTTTACGCACTACAGCTCCCACACTGCACCAGCACCCAGGACCCATACAAGATACCAGTGAACTGCTCATGTGTCATTAAGTTGAGAGAGAGAGTCTCAGAACATGTTTGAATTAAAACTTCCCTTTACCATGACAGCTTTGTAGGTGGTATAATTACCCCAACACTACGTTATGACCTGAACATTAAGTGGTTGGCATATCTGATTACTCAGTACCTTTACTTTCTTCATCAAACATCAGAAATTCAAATTAATTTAATTTAATAGCACAAATATCTAAGTGTTTACAAAGTACTTCACAAAAGCCCCAAAATTAAAATGAAAAAAACATAAACACAAAGAAATTAAACTATGAAATCAAACACCAAAAACAAGTATTAAAAATATATATATATAATTGAGCACACTAGAAAAAATTGCATGGCATTTGCACAGCATAAAAAGTTGAGTATACTAAACATTTCACATACAGTGAAATTAGGTAAAAATCTAATGTTACATAATAATGTTACTTTTTACTTTCAGGTGGATTAGGTGGACTATGTTACCTTTGGACAGAGCCCATATCTGAACCCCTTCCTTGGATCCAGGCCATCCGCCAGCCTCAACAGTGAATGTGGAGGTGAGTCAGTATGTCAGGAGACTCTGTACTGATTACCAATTAAAACTAATGTATGTACTTTGTGTTTAATGCCAATAAGGAAAAAACTGTTAGCATGCTATAAGCCTGTCACTTTTTATTTGTGCATTTATTCGAACATGCGTCTTTTAGTTCATCAGACAATTTGGAGTGGTGTCGATATTCGCATCTAACTCTAGGCAACAATGTAAATAAGTGGATTTAAGTCTTTAGTCAGCAGCAGGTGACAGCTCTTCCACCTGACAAAGAGTCACTGAGCAGTTTAACCCAATCCAGAAGCCAGGATAGAGGGGTTCGCTGAACGTGGAGTAGAAGGTATGGAGGTGTGCCAGTGTATCATCGGATACTCTGTAGAAAGACAGAGTGCCAGCAGACCAGTCCAGATACACAGCTACTCTGGTTGTGTCAAGGGGGTGGAGCATTACGTCTGTTAAAGCTTTATTATGCCGAATATAGTACCCATCATCAGTGACCTCCAGACACCAGGACTTATCATTCCATCCAAGACAGCAGTCGACATCTTCTCCACTCCTGCTGATTCCTCTGTAAGTCACTGCAACACTAACACTCCCTTGCCACTCCACCTCCCAGTAACAGCGACCGGTTAGACCCTGTGTGCACAGCAGCTGAAACCAGCCAGCAAACCTCTCAGGGTGGTCTGGATACGGCTGCTCCTCTCTCCCCCGAGTCACTTTTCTGTTGTCATCTAACAGGACGAGGTCTCTGTCTGCTGTGTTTGGATCCAGTGTGAGTTCACAGGCATCTAAGGGAAAGAAAAAAATCACAATACATGCAGCTGTTCCTGACGACCGACGGTTTGAATGAACATATGTCACATTCATGACACTTACACTTCTTCAGACCAGATTTCAACCAGCGAACTCCACCAGGCTCGACCCTTCAAAAAGATCACGATTGAAACAAGTTATTACTTTTCCACTGAGAGTTTCTCCATAAATCATTTACAATTTCAAGATAGGAATCTTTAACCAGGACAATGTGACAGGAGCAATGTGTGTGATCTGTCAGCTTTCCCAGCTGTTTGCTTTCCATACCTGAAAGTGTCCAGTCTCCACTGTGGATCCTGCAGTCCAGCAGACAGGAGCCTCACTCCCGAGTGTCCTGGGTGATTGTAGCTCAGGTCCAGCTCTCTCAGATGAGAGGGGTTGGAGCTCAGTGCTGAGGCCAGAGAAGCACAGCCTTCCTCCGTGACCAGACACCCTGACAAGCTACACACACACACACACACACACACAAAGTTGTGAATTTGCCTTTGCAAGTTTTTAGCACAATTTTTCACCGTTTATGAATCTATTTGAGGAATTCCAACCTGAGGGTTTCCAGTCCACATTGTGGACTCTCCAGTCCAACAGAGAGGAGCTTTACTCCTGAATCCTGCAGGTCATTGTTACTCAGGTCCAGCTGTTTCAGACAAGATGACTGTGAGCTGAGAACTGAGGCTAGTGCTTCACAGCTCATCCATGACAGCTTGCACAAATTCAACCTAAAGAACATGGATCAACATTAAAATGTTTCCCTCTGCAGCTAAATTTTATCGTTGTCCTTTATATTTGTTTTGTAGTTTATGTTGCATTTTCTGGTAGTTGTTAATACTATTGTTAAAGATGATATCATATGAAGTTAATTGTGTTTACTTTGCTGTGGTGCTTTGTATGCTGATTGATTCCTTCTGGGGTTATGGTATTAAACAGTGAGTTGACCCAAATGGTAAAAGAAATTCTAATGTGCCCCAAAGTAGTTTACTGTTGTATTTGTCCAGCTCTTAAAATATGTTTCTATCCGTTTGACCACCACAACAGTGCGATGGGGAAGAATGCATTTGTGGCCGGTCTGTCACTTTTTAACAAAAATTCAAAGTGAGTCACAAGAGAAAAGTGTAAAAGCTAAACAGGTCATGCCTTATACTCCCAACAGGGGCATTCATAAAATGCATAGTCATATCAGTTACTGGGCTGTTTGCTGACACAAAATGGAGAAAGCTAGCAAACCATATTGATCATGATACCAAACCATCTGAGTCAAGTCAACATAGATGAAAAGGTCTTGCCGAGAGGTGAAGCTGTCATTTCAAATGCAACTTCTGCACATTAACGTTACACAGGTGGCGGACATTGAGGCAGCACAAGAACACCATGTAGTTTAGGTCCAGGGTAGGTGGGTTCAAATTAACTGGAGCATATTATGTGTCAGCTGGGATAGGCTCCAGCCCCCCCGCGACCCTACTAGAGGATAAGCGGTAGGAGATGAATGAATATTATGTGTCAGTTTTGTGGTGCTCACAGCATTGAACTCTGACCTGAGAGATTCTAGCGTACAGTGCAGACTCTCAAGTCCAGCAGAGAGTCGCTTCACTCCTGAATCCTGCAAATTGTTGTCACTCAGGTCCAGCTCTCGCAGACTGGAGGACCTGGAGCTGAGAACTGAGGCCAGAGCTTCACAGATCCTCTCTGAGAGGTTACAGTGACTCAACCTGAAGAAGGTGATGACAACAAACGTAGCAACAATTACAAGTATTTTAGTAACAAGTATTGCTTTAGCTTTATTTGCCAAATTTAAGGTTGGCTGTTTAGCAGGGTTTTATCTATATAGATTATGATATTAATAATTATCAATTCATAATCTCTTCCAAAGTGCCAAGAATGTACTGTAGAGTAAAGCATGTTCTTAGTTTTGGTGTTTTAATGGGATTTGTGGACAATAAGAAAAATACAGAACAACGCCAGTTTTAACCTGTTGCCATATGGAGCCCTATTGACAACAACAGACAAAGGCAGCAGACAGACATGAAAAAAAAAAAACTCCCAAATTGTATAAAGAGACTTCGGTAACTTTGTGATGTCACAACAAAGCAGCCACCACTCTCAGCCATGCCCTAAGCCCCGCCCGTCACCCAATCTGACTGGCTCTCCGACCTGTTATTACTAGAGCTCCCGAGAGAAGCTTGAGAGAAGAGATGTAACTACAGTGAGATGGTTTTTAAATCCACAAATATATCTTCTTGTGGATGTTAGAACTTAAGTGTAAAATATGGGACCTTTAAATAAAGTCAGCTGACCTGACAGATTCCAGTCTACAGTGTGGATGCTCCAGTCCAAAAGAGAGTACTGTCACTCCTAAATCATCAATTTCGTTGCTGCTCAGGTCCAGCTCTTTCAGATTAGACTGTTCAGAGGTGAGAACTGAAGCCAGAGCTCTACAGCTTGTCTCTGACAGAGCACATCCACTCAGCCTGATGAAGATTAATAGAGGAAGACAAGAATTTTGAACAAAAAAAGAAATACCATTTTTACCAATAAAATACAACATATATAATAAATCCACCTACAGGTATGTAATGGAGGCTTGAAACACCGGCAGCAGCCTCAGAAAACCGTTTTCTGAGCTACAGTACTTCTTCAGGTCAAACACCTCATGCTTTTTTTCTGATGACAGTAAGATGAAGACCAGAGCCGACCACTGAGCAGGAGAGAGATATTTTCTAGGGATGCTTCCTGAATTCAAGTACTCCTGTATCTCCTCCTCTAGAGAATGATCATTCAGCTCATTCAGACAGTGAAACAAGTTGATGCTTCTCTCTGGAGACGGACTCTCCTTGATCTTCTTCTTGATGTACTGGATTGTTTCCTGGTTGCTGTGTGAGCTCGCTCTTTTCTGTTTAAGTAGGTCTGCCAGACAATCTTTATTGGTCTGCAATGAGAGGCCCAACAGGAAACGGAGGAATAAGTCCAAGTGTCCCTCTGGACTCTCTAAAGCCTTGTCAATGGCGATCCTATGGACCTCTGCTGCAGATGTTTTGCGGAAAAGCATCCCCAGACTTTTAGAGTGTGGTTGGGATTCATCCAGCACGTTCTTGCTGCTGTTAATGAGTGACGCCTCCACATAAAAAGCAGCCAGAAATTCCTGAATGCTCAGATGGACAAAACTGAACATTCGGCCCTTATCCTTGTCCTTCTTCCTCCAGCGCTCCTTTTTAAAGATCTGTGTGAAAACCCCAGAGTACACAGAGGCTTCGTTGAGATCAATTCCACTATCTTTTAGGTCTTCCTCATAGAAGATTATGTTTCCTTTCTCCAGCTGGTAGAAAGCCAGTTTTGCAAGTGACTGAATGTACCAAATGGTCTTTTTTGTGCCATACTTCTCTTTCGTCTGTCTCATCTGAAAAGCCAGGAATTCTGTGTACATCTCAGTCAGAGTCTTGGGCAGCTCCACTCTCTCATTGGCTCTTAGCATGTCCTCCAGCACTGTAGCGGTGATCCAACAGAAGACTGGGATGTAGCACATGATGTGGAGGCTTCGCGACGCCCTGATGTGGGAGATGATGTTGCTGGCGTGCTCGTTGTGACTGAATCTCTTGGAGAAATACTCCTCCTTCTGTGGGTCAGTGAACCCTCTCACCTCTGACACCATATCGACAAACTCCGGAGAGATCTGATTGGCTGCTGCAGGTCGTGTTGTTATCCAAAGACGAGAAGAGGGAAGCAGAGTACCCATAATGAGGTTCATCAGTAGTTCTTCCACCTTAGTTGACTTTGTCACATCAATAGTCTTTTCTTCTTTGGCGGTGAAGTCTAGTTGAAGACGGTTCTCATCTAGTCCATCCAACACAAACAGAAGTTTAAATTTACTCTTGTCATAGTTGGTGTTTCCTGACATCTGTAACACTGTGAAGATATAATTAAGAGCCTCCTCTTTGATGTCTTTGGTTTCCCTGATACATTTGTGAATGAGTTTGGCGAGGCAAACCCTTTTTCCCTTCAGTAAATTCAGCTGGCGGAAGCTGAATGGGAATATGAGATGCACATCGTGATTGGTTCTTCCTTCAGCCCAGTCGAGGATGAACTTGTGCACAAGAAATGTTTTCCCGATTCCTGCAATCCCATTGGTCAGCACTGTCCTGACGGGTCTGTATTTTCCAGAGGGGTGTTTGAAGATATCACTGGGTTTGACCGATATCTTTGCTCCAGCTGGCCTTCTCGATGCCGTCTCAATCTGCCTGACCTCGTGTTGCCTGTTAATTTGCATGTTGCCTCCATCTGTGATGTGGAGCTCTGTATAGATATCATCCAGAAGTTTTTTTTCCTCCATATCTGCCAGTCCTTCCTGTACACACAGAAACCGGTTCTGAAGATTAGACTGGAGCGCTTGTTGGTACGATGTGATTGGCTGTGGAGGCTTTGGTACCAGCACCATCAAATCTGTGTATTACAAAGTAAGACAAGAGACGGAGCAGAAAGTGGAAAACCGGATTAAGATTCAGACAATTTCACAAAAAAATAGACTAAATCAAGTGCTTGTAACCCACAGAACATACCTCAATCTCATTCTTGCACTGTATCATACTGGCTTAAGAAGTGCACACTGCTTAGCCAAAAACTAAAAAAATGAAGCTTTATTATGAGACAATTAGGAAAATCAGCCCCGACACCTCAACATTTCGCTTCTTTTGAGGTAGTTGCCAACTGTCAATGAATCAACACAAGAGCTAGCCTTACCTTTAATCACGTAAAACAAACAGAAATAAGTCCATAGCCATTTTAATAGATGTACTAAATGGACAAATGACAACAAGACAATCGACATGACAGGACGAGTTCATCAAACAAAAGCTTTACCTCCGATCTGACTGTCTGTAGTGGCCAGGTGTCTATTGTCAGAACTAGTCCCCACATCACTAACATCTACTGCAACAGAGAGAAAGAACGCGATGTCAGGAAGGAGCTTCAGCACCAGTCAACCAGTTAACAAATTATTACACATATTATAATTTCACCTTCCTGCAGTGTACCTTTTGATGTAGAGGAGAAGTTTGGTAATCTCTGCACCAGATCATTTCTGTTGATTTTGACTAAAACCTTCCGGGTCACCTCCAGAGCTCTGTGAGGGCCGTAGATCTGCACCATCTGAGCGACGGTGTCTTGCCTGTCTGCCTTCTCCAGTTTGCTCACAGCGATGGCTGGGTAGGTTTCAAGATGTGGGGTGATTGTGTGCATGATGTCCATCTGCTGGAGGAGCCATTTCAACTGCTTGAATTCCTCCTCCCTCAAATCCTCCAGAGTTACCCACAACGTCTCCTTAAGCGAGGTCGTCATGGCTGACATGGCACTATCTCTTTTACCTAAAAGACAATTATTCACTTTTCACTTTGAAGATTCAAAATAAATCTATGTACTAATACCCCTCAGAAAATTTCCACATTTCTTTCGTAACATTAGAGCAAACAGTGAGTTGTTTTGTTCCTTTTTCGGCTGCACTTTATCGCCACCAACTACAGAGAGTGACCCAACATTAGCCGCAACATGTGGATGAAGACTGTGATGTGTTAAGAGGATTGCTATTGCTGTTGCACAGTGGCTTCTTCTTTCCAGAAAGAGGTTACACCTGCAATCTAACTCACTTCTTTAGGTTACGATAATCTTACAAGTTAAGACTGCAAGAGAGGTGGTTGATTTGTGTTGCAGTGATCGCATTCTACTGAAGACGTGTTGTTCTTCTTACCTGCAAGAAAATAACTCTGAGAAGAGACCTCACAAAAAAGTATTTCTACCATGAAACATAGTTTTCTTTAGACACAAAGAGCAGAGCAGCATCACATACTTGGGAAAGCAAGAAGGAGAAGATTCATGCCTTATCATTTATATTTCCAACTGGTATTTTCCACTTTTAACTTAAGGAGAAAAAGAATATTAGGACGAGGACACTGTTGTGTTTGGTGAACGTAGCGCTATCTCAGCTAACATCCTTGGGTGGGGTTGCTTGAATATAAATTCAATACAGCAGAAAAAAAGCAGCTAACACAAAACCATACTCACATATTGTAGCACCCAGGACACTGGTAAAATATTACACAATGCTGGAGTACATTACTACCGTGGGTAGTAAGCCAGCTAACATTTGAAGCTTACGTGACAGGAGACAAACACACATCTTAATCACATTTTATGCTTTTGGAAAAAGAAACCACCACCACCAAACCAGGGTGACATTAGTTGGTAAGTTAAAAAAGTGCATCTAATATAGAGTAAATACAGTTAAAATTTAACTGTACTATGCATCAGTGTGAACAACCTACAACCACCCTCTTTAAATTATATGGTTAGGGTTTTAGCTTAGTATAATTACAAAAGTTAAACAACATTCATCTACAGTATATCCTGGCTAAGATGAGTATATTGAATGTGTATTAAAATTGAGAAGTTATGAGGAATTCACACAGAATAGTTCTATACAATTGTACAAAAAGGGCTGGAATGAATGTTTCACCTTGGTGTGAGGGTTTTATTCAGTTTACATAACTCAGCAAGGAGTCATGCGTTGTCAAAGTCCAATAGTGAACTCCAGACACCGGTCACGTTAAGAAACCTAGAATAAAAACAATGAAAAACCTATTCCAAAAAGGTTCATCTTGTCTCCACTGCACTTATTTATTTTTTACTTTTTTTAAATACATTTTTGTATTTTTAATTTTTTTTTTTTAAATGACTTTTTACTTGTGTCACTCTTATAGTCTGTCTTGATGCCTTTTATGCTCTATGTAAAGCACTTTGAATTGCCTTTCTGTTGAAATGTGCTATACAAATAAACTTGCCTTGCCTTGCCTATGCTTTTTTCTTATTGATAGATGAGTGCTTTAGCTTTAGGGTGTTTTTTACCTTGACATGTTTCGGCTGCTGTCTTCCTGCAGTCTTCCTCAGAAGAGTCTTATCAGCCGTTGTTTATACAGGTGTGGTCGTCCTGTTAGGTTTGACGGGACGATCACGCCCCCTGCTGTTCAGCCGCTCCTTCAGAACAGCATCCCAGGTGTGGGACAACATGTATGCCCCCTCGTCCCGGTTCACTGTCCTTTGGACCCATTTTCAGATCTCAATGGCCTCCCTAATCCAACGGTGGTGCTTGTTGCTCTCTGATCCAATGACTTAGCCTTTTCCCAGTTCATGATGTGATTTTCCCTTTTGCAGTAGTCTGATATGGCTGATTTTAGGTTCTCCTGTTCTGCTTTTTCTTTTATTGCTCGGGCAACAGCAAAAACAACTGCAAACACAACACATTATAAAAACAGTATTACAAATACTGTTCTCTTGTCAGCGAACATTCATTTCACAACAGGAACAAAGCTCAGCAATACACTCTAAAAATCTTAGCCTGTTTCTTAAACAGGCAGGCTGGAAACAAAATCCCTTTTTGACGTCTTTGTGGCTGGATATCTACTGTCAATCAAACTGGCAATTTTTGGGGGAAAAAAATGTGGCAAAATTTCCAATGACCATGTAGTAGATTACTCAAATTCAATACATGGAAATCGGAACATAAATTATATGGGTGTCCCATCTCCCTCTGTTAGCAAGACCATTTGGTGTTAGTTTGACCAGTTTCACCGGTCCGTGATGAAAACAAGCTTTTGGCTTTTGTTTAGAATGACATTTGCAAGTTTATACTTCCAGAGTCTGTTTTTTGTACCATTAGCTCTTAATGTGGGGGGTTCAATTGAAAAGTGCATTCAACATTTTCATTTGTGACTTTTGACAAATTATATTTTAATGGAATTCACATGTTGACACAGAACAAAGTCAGTGTCCTTGTGTTGTCTGTGGAGGATTTGAGGATTTAAGACAGATAATACAGACTGAACTGTCCTTGGGCACGGGAATAACACACATGACATTTAAGCCTTTTATTTAGTCAAAATTGCTTTTAAATGAATGAAATGTATCTTCATGAATGTTGTGCAAAAGCATTGCAGGCATGAATGCATACTTGTTCGACTTAATCATCTTCTGTATTGAAATTTCGGCTTTGAGAAACCCAGACAATAGATAGGCTATATCAATATGTGCAGCTTGATTGGGAATGGTGTAGCGTACATACGTGGCCTGGCATTAGTCACAAGCCATTAAGGAAGTTCATTGTAAGGACATGCAGAGTTACGGACACACAATTGACGCATTGCGACTTTTCCCACCATCAAACCATCAAATTGATAGGAAACAGAGACAAAGGACTCCTCTTCCAGAAACAGACCATGCTTTTAGCATGTCCGAACGACACAGAACCAGACCAAAGGTCAAAGGGTCAGCTCCAGAGGATCAACCAATGGACACCAGACAACTGGAGAATATAGGCAAAATCTCCAGTTTATAACAATAAGACTTTGTCTATTGATATTTGATTGTTTCTTGTATAGGACAAGTAACAACAAAAGGACTGATTAACACTAAAGTGTGAATCCTGGCCTCTCTGTGCCATGCATGAACACACACATCAACCTCCCTTCCTCTGTCCGTCTCTAGATAAGAGTCATAAACTACGACCCACATTCCAGTCCTGGGTAGTGACCAGCAGAGCTCTCTTCACAGACACAGATCTAAGGAAGAATGTAAAATTATATATCTAACTGTTCTGTAACTCATGAGATGTTCCTATGCAATAGTTTAATCCCAAGCTTCTATCCCATAGAATGTTTGAAAGGTAACATGTAGATTTTAAGATAATGTCCTTCATGTGACCATTCTGTCAGCATCCTTCACACGAGTTAACACACACTACATGACATCCAGCATGTCCATATTATTATTATTACAGTCAAAGAACTGCTGTGTAATCCATATTTATAAACTATTAGCTTTGGGAAATGTTTATATTGTTGTTTGATCAATTAACCACTTGTATCATGATTAATTCCAGGTTAGAAGGATGTAATATGAAATCAACACTCCTATTACTCCTCTCTGCCATTATTAGTGCAAGTAGTTTTCTCTGTTATTTCACTTTATGTTTTGTGGTCATGGTGGAAGACGGATGTGCGAATTTATAAGTAAATTCTAGATTTAAATTATTCCAAAGTTCAGCGAAAAATTACTCTCTTCTCCAAGTGGAAACACAGGAGACGACGGGTGACGCCCCTGAAACATGCACCCGCCCCCCAGGGGATAAAACAGTCGTGATCAATTCACATAGTTCAGTTCCAAGAAAAAAGTTCCAAGAAGATCAGTAGAACAAGTCACAAATTCGGAGAAGTGCAGAAAAGCCTGAAAGGTGAGAAGAGGTCAGATGGCAGTTCCAAAAATCAGTTCAGAAGAGAACTAGAAGAGAAAAAAAAGTCAGAGAAACCCAGATGACAAGAAGATGCGAGAAGATGCGAGAAGCTAGAAACGATGCAGAAACTAGAAGCTGAGATCTTTGCTCAAAGCTCAGAGTCCCGGCTCAAAGCCCGGCTCTGTAGCCATGTAAACTCTTAGCTCTAAGCTGCTAGCCACAAACTCATGGCTCTTAGTCAGTTTTGCACTTTTCGCGTCTTTTATTTTTCTTTGCCACAAGCTACAAGTAACATGATTTTTGTCTACATGCGCGATCTTTTATTTTTATAAGCCAAGTCAAGACCAACTGAACCAAAGCAACAGAAGTGCCTCAGAGTAATTTTGTAACTTTTAATCATCATCAAGTTTTCCTTTTTGAAGATTTTGACAACTTTAGAGTCATCTGGTCAACACCGGCCTCCTCTAAAGTTATCCAGCCAAAGTGAACAGCATTAGAGTTTATTTCGCATCAACCCACAAGAGACACCAGCAGATAACAACTTGCCCGACCCCCTGCGAGAAAGCCGGGCAGAAATCAAGAGTGCCTGAGACAGAAAGTCTCCTGGCAAACTCCACCAGAGCTGAACCGCTGAGACACCGGCAGAATCCGTCATCGTGATAACAGGACACGGCCTCCAGGAGAGACTGGAGATCCATTGAATCGAGAAGTCATGGTTTCTGATATGAGATTGATAAATTTGGCAATGAAGTAATTCATTGTTGTCCTCCTAGAGGACTGGTGCCCCATTTCAACGAGAGTAAATCCTAAAATATGGTGTTAACGCTACAATGGTGTGCCATGATTTTTCTTTGCGATTTGAGTAACCATGGTGACATAAATGGTGATAAAAGGCGAAAAAATGCAGTGTGTTCAAGTGCAACTTTTAACAGAAGACATGAGACGAAGCATTTGTTTGGTCTGCCAACATTTTATATAAATACATAGCAAGCAAAGCCTATAAGCAAATAAATAAGCAAAAAACAAAAATGAAGTTATATTCTGATATGAAATACTTTCATCTGTCAAAGACAAGCAAAACATTAAATATGGCTAATCCTCTAGCTGCAATAATTGCATTTTTGTGCAGTAATAACAGTCATACAGTCACTACAATATGGGCCATTTGACAATTAACCAAGATGTGAGGGAGATGGAGACAAAGGGAATTACAGATTTATGACATAGTCTAAAGTAAACGAGAGATATATTTTTATTTTTTATTTTATTTTAAACATTCATCTTTACATCATTTATGGTTTGGAATCAAGTCTGTGTTTCATTTATTCAAAGTTCTTAAAAAATGACCTGATCTCATGGCAGATATGATGCCGTTTTACTGACACAATCGAATCAATTGTCCCTCGGCCCGAGGCCAGTGTGTTCACCAAACTCCAGGAAATCTATTCTCAAGTGTTTCCTGCTGATGCACTAACATGGATGAAAACATAACCTCCTTCACAGAGGTGAACCTCAACTCTGAATCAAATAAAGGCCTGTATATCAGTATCTGACACGTCAGTACATGTAATGTAATACATATTACATCAAAGCACATCAGCCTGTATGAAACTACATGAATCAAAACAATAGCCCTGTGTGGTGTGTGTGCTTGTGCATATGTGGATGTGTGCACATATTCTGAACATGCTACAGCCACCATAAATTAAACTTTATTTATATATATATAAATATGCAAAGAAATGTAACATTGCGTGGCAGCGTGTTCATGTCATTTGCTTGTGTTTCAGACCAACCAGCGTCCTGTGAGGGAGGAACTACTGGCAGCTGCAGGCGTGTTTTATGTGTTACAACAGACGGCGAGAAGCTGCCTGACTGTTCATTAACAACAATGGCAGCTCCTAAAGAGGTTAGCGTTGATGCAGCTTCAGTTACATCAGAACTGCAGAGTATTTCTTCATTGTTTCATTTACCAACTGGCTGCTGGTAATGAAAATAATGGGAAGGGTGCAGAAATCTGCTGCGCCACTATGAAGCTCGGTAGCGAGTTTCAGCTCAGTGTTTTGTTCTTTACTGTTGGGGCTCACTCTCACTGCTCATAAACAGCATCTTTTTCAGCTGTTTTCAGCAAAAAGCTCTGAAACCTCGCTGTACACTACCTGCTCAGCACCTGGACACAGTTAGCTTGTAGTTAGTGGATTTAGCAGCTACAGAATGAGACATTAAGAGACCAAAAAACAGAGCTGAAAGAGAGTAACCAAAAACACAAGTCCAAATGAGTAGTATGATAGTGATAGTGTGGCCAAATCAGGGTTATTGCAGGTTTAAAAGATGTAAGCTACAAATAGAAAATGAGACACTGTGGTTTAACGAGCAGCCAGTCTACATTTTGGAGATGACCATCACCAGCTAGCTTAACATGGCGGCGACACACAGTTCTCCAAAATTCCTGTCCTTATAGTGAAGCTGCACATTCCTGGACAAAACCCGGTTATTACTGTTTATTACTGTTTTATTCTGCTTATGAACCTCCAGCATTAACACTGCAGTAGATTTTCTGATGCTCTTTACATCAGTGATGTTAGTATCAGCAGAAAAACATCAATTAATTTAGAAACTCAAAAATGCCCTTTTTGATCTATACATTAAAATCTTTAATTAAAAAATATTAGTTTTCTCTGATTTATATGGTCATGGTCTTTGCAGTACCACTAATGTACTGACCTTTTTTCTGTTTAATTTCCCTTTTTTGCTTGCTGTGTGTGCATCTATCTCTGTGTGTGCAGTTTTCGCCCTTACATAGTGGTCGTGGAGTATCGTGCCGTGAGCGTTGTGCGCAGCCTGTGAGATTGTGTGGGAGAGTGTGTGTGTATGAGGCTGTGCACGGCGTGTCTGTATCTGGCAGACATCAGGTTGTACAGTAAAGGATTGACAGCAGCACTGAGGTAGAAGAGGACTGAGGACACCAGGTTGAAATACTGAGACAGATAGTATGAAAAGTGCGAGTCAGGGTATGGGTATGTGTTGTTGAAGTGTGTGTGGTCGTCGTATAGGTCAGTGGGTGTCTCAGCATGTGTGTTTGTGACCGCAACAGAGGGTGCGTGACGAGGCGTGTCATTTTGTGAGTGTATGCAAACGGATGTCCCGTTTTGCTTGATATGTGTGGTCGTGTTTGTGCAATTATGCATTTGATTGTTTGTGTCTCTACTGTCTGCAAATTTCCCCAGTTGTGTATTAACACTTGCTGCGTCATTGTGCATTTCAGTGTGTGTACTTGTGTGTATGTCTGTTTCAATGCTAGGATCCAAATGATGTGTGCTCGTGGCAGTTTTTCTGTGTTGCCCTCTGGTGTGCGATATAAAATGAGAATATAAGTGTTTGTCTGTGCTCATATCATCAGCAGGCGCGCCCACGTCAGCGTGCATTTCAGTTTTTGTATCTGTCAAGTGTGTGTCTACATCAATGTGTGTGTTTGCACAGATGTCACAGAATATTTCACCTCTCTGTTTGTGAGCTTGTGCAGTCGTTTTTCCAACCTCGGAGAGAGCCTCGAGGCGTGTGTCCGAGTCTGAGCGGCTAATGGGTGTGGTAACAGTGTGTATGTTGATGTCTCCGTCTGTGCGATCAGAAGGCGAGTTAATGTGTGAGTTTGTGTCCATGTACATTTCCTGTCTCTCGGTAGCGGTGCCCAGAGAAAGAGAGAATATGGTCCGACCAACATGGAAGGGCAGCCAGCACAGGACAAACGCCAAGACGATCACACCTGGAGGAGGTGAAGAGACAGAGGAACAGGGTGTGGAGAAAAAAAACAAAAAACAGGAGGAAGACATTAGAATCATCCCATATGCAAATGTAAATGTACATATAATAATAAATAATAATAAATATCTGAGTGTGTTGGTGTGTGTGTTTCTCACCGAGCATTTTGACAGTGTGCCGGTGACTCTGGTCTTTGCGGCTGCTTTGTGGACGGAGCCACAGTGTCCGTCCAATCAGGCTGTAGACCAGTCCCAGGATGCAGAGTGGTATCAGGAAGTACAAGTTGGAGAGAATCATCATGGCCGACAACAGGCCAGAGGAGACGGCGTAGTGCGTGCAGCGGCACTCTCTCTTGTCAAGCTCTCCTTCATGACCTCCATCAATTCCCTCTTCCCTTCCTCCTCCTTCATCTTCTTTCATTTTATTTTGCTGCGCTCCATCAACTTCCATCTTTCCTTCCTCTCCGCCCTCATCCACTTGTTTTTCATCTTTCATTTCTCCTCCATCTTGTTTCCTCTCATCTGTTTCCCCTATTCCCAGTTTTCTGTCCCCTTTCTCCCCAAACCATTTTAACTCCCCAACTCTTTCACCCCATCCCTTTGTCTCTTTCTCTTCCCAATTTCTTCCCTCCCATTCTCCATCCATCGAGGTCACGTGTCCACTTCCTCTCTCCCCTCCACCCATCATAAATGCTACCTCTTCTCCGTTCCTTCCTGTCCACCCTCCATCCTCCGTCCATCCACTGAGCCCTTGTTCTTCTCCCCCAACTTCCTCCACTCCAACCATGACCAACACTGGTGCTGCACTGACAGCCGCACCCAGCCAGAGGCAACCAATAAGAGCCCTGGTTCTGCGCCGTGTCACCAGGGTCTTGGCTGTGATTGGCCAGCAGACCGCCATGTACCTCTCCAGGGAGAGGAAGGTGATGTGGAGGATGGTACAGAAGGTGCAGCACTCTGAGAGGAACATGGTCAGCTTACAAGCAAGGTCTCCTAAGAGCCAGGGTCTGGGCCTCCAGAGCTGGAAGAGACAGAATGATTATTTTAACCTGACGACATCTTAATTTTCACCTTTATTCTACCTCGTGTTCAAAGATCATGTTCTCAATTTGCAAACCAATGTCGAACGCATTTATATTTCAGACAAGAATGGTCATGTTTTACAACCAGACAGTGGATTTAACCAAAAACTTGCTGTTGGCTTGCTAATCAAAGACTCTATAGTCTAAACCCCACATCTCGCTGGGGCCTGTACAGCAAAACAAGTTCAATTTAATCCATCTCTCTTGGGGTCATGAAGCTGGTTAACAACTGGCTCTTCCTGGCTTTTCCCTTTCAAGCACGCTTATGTGAAACAGGCAGAGCTGTTAATGACAAGCGGAGGACATAGCTTTGATTTCCAATGTGCCTCTTTGTGGTCACTTCCTCTTGGCACTTAGTAATACAATACCGCAATGACACCACTGGTTGCTTTAAGATCTTGGAGGGAAGAAAGTAGTAGCCTAGTTCTAGACGTCTGATTTTTTTTTTCAGCGATTCAATAGGCCTGGTGTTTCCCTGACAACCGTGTCAATCAGAGCTTTTGTATGTGTGAAAAATTAAGAATGACAGTATAAGAAAATTGCGATAAAAATTTACAGCAAGCCACTGAGATCCATACACAGCTTGTTGACTGAAAACGATGTTGACATTACATACACTAAAAATAATTCTTATCAATGAAATACAGTACTGTTATTGTTATTTGCCCACATGTAAGTATCCCTTGATCTTTCATTGCTGTTGTGCAGAGGAAATGATAGAAGAGTGATGTAAGGATACTCTGGGTATGACATGACCTCTGTGTCTGAGAGAGGAAAACTTAATTTTGCAGCAGGGATTCCCCTGAGGGGAAGGAAACATGGGCTTGTTTAAACCTCTATTCTCAGCAGGAAGCAAAAGCATCATGTCCCCTTTTTCTTTCTAATTCCTGATGTGACTCCACCTTGAGTCAAAACATCAGTATCTGATCAAATCCGATAGAGTCTTGCATGACATAAAAGGTGTACCTTCTGTATGTCTGTGTGTGAGTGTACCTTGTATAGATCCAGAGGCAGCAGCAGGAGTATCAACAGATCACTGACAGCCATGCTGCTCAGGTAGAGGTAGGTAGAGCTTCTCATGTGAGGACGGAGCCAGACCACAAGAATTGTTAGTATATTTCCGAGAAGGCCGAAGAGCATCAGCGGGATGTAAATCACAGTCACGCACACTAGAAAATGAAATATTGATATGTTTTTATTTTCCAATAAAAACATAACTTGTATTTCAGAAATGTACACAGTGTTAGCCAACAATGGAAAATTATGAACGAAAAATTTTTGAATCTCAGTTCACAGAAATCATATTATTTCACTGTTACTGTACCATGTACTTGTGATAACTAGCACAGTAAGTTTGTGAAATCTTAAAGGGGCTATTTGTACGTTTTCTCTGCCGCCAAACATGTTTTTTTTACCTTGAGCAGGTGGCGGTGATTGACGCTTGACAAGAGCTTCAGCCGTCATTGTCTTTATAATACAAGAGGTTATAATGCGTCCTCTCAGCAGCGCTGCGTCTTCAGGACAGAGGCTACAGTGAGTCGCTATAGGAAAGTGAGATGGACTAGGGCTAGCTGATTAGCGTGCTGAGTAAAGGAAAAGAAGTGATTGGCGTTGCTTTCCACCAATGGAGTGTAAAGGAATGAAGTTTGATGTTGAACTCACAACATTTCTTCTAGATTAGTAAGTAAACAGCTGTTAATGCTAACGTTGGCTATGTAGCAAAAGCAAAACTTACAGATAGCTCCTTTAAATGAATAGTTTCATGCCAAGAGTTAGATGAAAAGATTGATACCACTCGGTAAATGTGACAAAAAACCAAAAACAATCTCAAAAACTACCACTTTTCCGTCGGTGCTTTTGTTGTTTTGTTTGTTGAGAACAGGCCAAGATATAATCTAATATATTTAACTTAAAGTAATAGTTCAACATTGAACTATTTGTTTGATATCAAATAGTTAAAAAAATTATATAATTTTTGTGTTGTTATTTTTGTCTTTATTTGTTACTTTACTGCTGCAGCTTTACATTTACATTTCTAGAACATCATGCATTAGTATCAATACCCTTGTTGTTTTTTACCCACCTAACTCAATTAATCCAAACACAGGTTCCTCCCACTGGCACTCATGGTTGGAGCAGTCCTCCGGGAAGCCCGATGCAAGGCCACAGTTTCTATCTTCACAGCCGCTGCCCATGTCTCCCATCTCCATGAGATCCATGATGGCGCAGGGTGGGGTTGGACACGAAGAGTGAAAGCAGCGGGGGAGAGGTGTGTGTCCCCCAGGTTACAGGGCGCAGAGGTGACGCACACTGATGGATTTCCTATGACGCTCGATCACAGCTAACACTGAAGTGCTGAACAAAATAAAAAAATAACACATAGGAACACGTTAACAAGAAGTCATATACAAAATGATTGTAATGTGTGAATTCTGCATATATGAATAAACACATGCAATTACACTTGCATATAGAGGGTATGTTCTTTGACACAGTTGTTTATGTCTAGCACTTACTCGTCACAAATCCACAAAAGATCCACCTTTATTGACACAGAGAAAACTGCTGTACACATATGGAGGCACATATTCAATATTAGCATAGTTGAGGTCCATCTATAAAAGTTTAATTAAAACTTCCTAACTATTTTTAGTATTTTTTTTTTCACCGACACCATCAATACCACTGAAAATGAACAAATTAAAATTCATCTTATAATTTTTTTCATGCACAAAACAATCACCTGAAACAATAATGACAAAAAAATACACACAAATAAATTCACAAAACAAAACTCAAGGTAAAATGCTATACTCACTGATTCAGAGGAGCCTCAGTGTCTGGTGTATCTCTCCGTTGCAGACACACACTTGTGCTTTGACTTACACACCTACAGTATGATCTCTCTCTCTCTCTCTCTCTCTCTCTCTCCATCTCTACCTCCAGTGGTTCCCAACCTGGAGGTCGGGGCCCTTAAACGGTCATGTGATAAATCTGAGGGGTCGTGCGATGATTAAAGCAGCGGTCACAGCACAGAGTGACATTTGTTCATCCATTCAAAACAGGTGGAACTGCAAACTTGGTGAGATAGTGACTGTACTGAGAGACTCACTGTTAAATTGCAAGCTGGTCCTCTGAGCTTCTGTTTATTTTCCCTCTACTGTTTCTCTCTAACGTTTCATTTAATCAAAGGTTATTGAAGAGGGAGAGTAAAATTCTCGGAGCTTCTTGCTAATAGTCAGTTAGCCAGCTCATTAGCTTGTTAGTTAAAGCTCATTAGCTCTGGTCGCTAATGAGACAATAAGTTCACACAGTTTGTTCAAAAGACATATTTGTATCATCAACTCCTGACTCATAACTGTCTGTAGCCTAAATCACTGCTCTTTTCTCTGACAGAGGAGGTTAAATAGCACAATACAATTCCCTTTTTAGACTCTCAAATGTCAAGACGTCCTACTATTGGTCAACAGCACGAAATCAAAGTTTAACAATGTCACAACTGATCTTGAAGATGCATGACGATCAATTAATTCACGGATTAATCTTAATTAATTAATGAATCAATTAGTTAAAGATTATTTTAAGTGAATCAGAGGTCATAATTTAGGGAATTCAATAGGAAAGTGGTCTGAGCAGTGGACAATTAGACTAAAGGAGGGTTTGTTTACAACTTAACAAACAAAGCCAACTCAGCATTTAGAAAGATACCATACACTAAATATTACAGCATGTCTTACAGTGCAAAAAATATATCCTGCAAAGACAAAATCAATGAATAAATGAATAAATCTTTCCACCATGATTGTGCTGAGGATTTTTAATATATATAAATAATTTCTCATAACCTCCATAACAGCAGCTGGTGCTATGAGTCTCTATGGGAGGTTGAGCACACCAGAGCAGATTGAAGTTTTAAAGACTGTTTTTTTAACTCTGTTATAATGTTATAATTCTATTTATATTGTGTGAACCATTTTCTAAATACCCAGACACTGTTGGTGTATTACTCGCCATATATTGTTGTACAATTTCTGACAGACATCCGCTCATACATCGGGGTCTTCTTATGAACTTCTTATGAAACTTCACCTTGTATTTCCAATATTTGTCTTTAATTTGAGGATTTAGATCAAATCTCTGCTCCACATTCCGAGGCAGAAGGAGGCGGTAATGGTCAGTTCGCAAACAGACGAAGAAGAAGCTGATGGCGCTGTATATGATTTTTTTTTTTTTTCAAACCGGAAGTATCAGCTTTCTGTCTCCATTCACAGTCTGAGAAGACAAAATGGCTTTGAGAGCTGCATTGAGAAACAGGGGCGGTTTGTCAGGTATGTCTGTTAGTGCAGGCACATTGTAGATGGGCAGTTTGATTGTATGCACCGATTTTTTGGGGGAAAATTATTGACACTGAATGTCATTAAAATAACAACAGCCAGCGCACCGACGGTTGTTAGCATTGTTAGCTGTGTTAGCTGAGCTGAGTTTGTGCTCCACAGAAAGTGGAGCAAAGGTCACTGAGAGGTTGCTGCTGGGCTCTCAGCTGCCGAGGGTCACACATAAACCTTTAAAGTGGATGTCAGCTTGTGCACATAGAGTTCCTTTATCAGTGTTAACTAGAAGGAAGTATTAGTTAACGAAAATATCTATATCCATGTTGATATTTTGGAGTGATGTTTAAAGTGGATTTAATGGCTACACGGAGGCATATACAATTAATTATGAATTATTTTAGTCAGCTAGAGACTAAGGGGTTAGCACATTGATTTGTGTCCTTGACTGTGATACAGTTTTAAAGACCAGGAATTTTCAAAGTAGATATGTACTATGACTTTCTCACAGCCTGTGTGTGTGTGTGTGTGTGTGTGTGTGTGTGTGTAGGTGTGTGTGTAGGCCAGCTGTCCTCCTGCACCAGTCATGCCAGAGTGTGTGTGTCCCCCGTCCTTGTCACTCAACAGAGGAACAACTCCACCTCACCTAAGATCAAAGTGGATTTTGACCAAAGCACAGGTAAAGATTCTGCAGATAAAATCAAGATGCTATTCATTTACACTTCAGGACACATATTCATTAGCCAGATCATAATTCTGCACCTGAAGCTATTTGTTAACTGCCAAAAATGTCAGAAGAAAAATAACTAATGCACTTTTTCAGTGCAGTTACAATAATAATGGTTTAGCTAGCTGTCTAACAACTATTCATAAGCTAACACAAACACTTGAATGAATTGTATGTATAGACTATATGTGGGAAAAAGTTTTATCTTTGCGTGGCTGATCTGATCAGGGATCAGATAAACGCTACAACAGATCTGTGAATCTTCAGTATGATTGTATGGGTTGAAACAGCTTGAGCCACATTTGTCCTGTCTCATGAATTTATACCTTTTTTAACATCTGGTTAGAATGTGTCTCACCTCAGGAGAAGGTTTGACCAATCACATCTCAGTCTGTCTTCAATGTGTTTTCGATGCATTTAAACTTACATTTTTGAGACTGGACATCTCTCCGATCCACTTAGAAGAACTAAGTAACTGTTGGGTTCAGAGCGCATTCTGGTTCTAGCGTTACATGTCGTCTTTACCTAACCATTTTTACCCTTTCACATGACTTTCTTTCATCTGGGGTTGAATCAGTAGGGATTTCATGTCAAAAGTCTTCAGGTAACAGGTCAGCATCTGTGTCTCTCTGTAGGTGTGGCGATGATGCACATGCAGAGTCCTCCTGTCAACAGCCTCAGTTTAGATTTCCTCACAGAGTTCTGCATCAATGTGGAGAAGCTGGAGATGGATAAGAGCTGCCGAGGCCTCATCATCACCTCGGTACAGTATAACCTCGTCCACTGTGGCAGCAGAGCCTTTGTCCAGGGGGTTTAAGATGTGTCTTTTGGCTTTGTGTTTGTATTACAGTGTAGTTTAAGTGCAGATACCATGCATGATAAATATGCTTGTGTGTGTGTGTGTGTTGCTTCAATCCAGAGCCAGCCCAAAGTGTTCTCAGCCGGACTGGACATTATGGAGATGTATGGGAAGAGTCCAGAGCGCTGTGGAGAATTCTGGAAAGCTGTTCAGGAGATGTGGCTGAAACTCTATAGCTCCAACATGGTTACCATCGCTGCAATCAGTGTACGTATAAAAACCCAACCCCCGTGACCCCCACCCCCGCCTCCATCCTGTTGCTGTATCACACAGGTGCAGAGCAGAAACAGGACACCATTAAGTGTCTTGCAGATTATCTCTTAACCTATATCATGTCACTCCCTCCACAGGGTTCCAGTCCTGCAGGAGGCTGCCTGATGTCTTTGACATGTGACTACAGGATAATGGCAGACAACCCTCGTTACAGCATCGGCCTTAATGAGACACAGCTCGGCATCGTGGCACCTTTCTGGTGAGGAATAATACATGACAACACCTATGAAAGGTTCATGTTTGTGCTCATGCCTTGCACCGTGTCATTGTAGTTAACAGTCACTGCTGCTGTCTGCAGGTTTAAGGACACCATGAAAAACACAGTGGGCCATCGCACCACAGAGATCGCCCTGGAGCTGGGACTTCTTTACAACCCGTCAGAGGCCCTCAAGATAGGACTGGTGGACCAGCTGGTACCTGAAGACCAGGTCCTCACCACAGCCACACAGACCATGACCAAGTGGTTGGCTATTCCAGGTACATTACATGTCGTATAGCACAAAGACAGGTGATTCGAGCCATAACACACCACAGCTTAATCACGATTAATCAAATTTTATTTTTTAGTTACAATTTTGGCTTCAGACGATTATGAAAACAAGATGATTGAGATAAAATGAAACAAAAACCAAATGTTGATCTGTTCACTTTACAGACCATGCCAGACAGATCACCAAGTCCATGATGAGGAAGCCGACCATCGACAAGCTAACGTCCAACAGAGAGGCTGACATCCAAAACTTTGTCAGTTTCATCACCAAAGACTCCATTCAGAAGTCGCTCCGCATGTATCTGGAGATGCTCAAGAAGAGAAAAAGCTAGAGGAGAGAGGGGAACATTTAAAATGTGACACACATACACACATTAGAGGGACTTTATGACACTAGTTGAAAACACGTGTGCATCCTAAAATCCAGCTCTCAGCGGCTCATCTTCATAACAGTGTACAACCAGCAGGGAACCATGTCTACCATAACACCGTGTGATCCTCTGACTCCAGGCAGTAACCTAGCCAGC